GAATGTGCTCTGTGTTGGACAGATGAATGCAGAGGGTGAGCAGAGGCAGGACATGACGGAAGCATGAAGAGCCACAATCAGCAGCTGCATGTGTCAGCAGAGCCAGTGCCCTTTAAAAGCCGTTGGACAGGATTTGTGTTCATAAATAATCAGGGTTTAAGTGTGCTGATGTTAGCATAAGACCTTCCGTCCGTAATGGAGAATCAAGTGTGTGCGCATTAGGCCTGTCCTGCTGGAGCACAGGACTCGAAACCTGTCCAAAAGACATTTTAAGATGTTTTCTTTCAAGAGACATGTACATTATTTCAATTCTGACTGGGTTTTAATTTTAAAATAACAGAGAAAACAATAATAATGCAATAGCATTATTATATAGCCATGTGGTCGGTTAAAGAGGATAAAGAAGTGCTTTAACCTGCACACTCAGGCCTCATGCTGTGCAGCTAAGCAGCTAGAGTCCATGCTGCTCTCTAGTGGTCGGTAGTAAAACTGCAGTTCATTTGCTCTGAGCAGAATTACTTATAAAATGAGGTGTTTAAACCACAATGCACATCACTAGTGTCCCATCAGTAACCAGTAAATATTAAAGCTTATTTAGTGTTAGATTAATTCTTCTTAAATTAATTTATAAATTATGTATTTATCGTTATTTATTGTGAAAAGTTTTTCAAAATCCCCTGTGTAAGGGAAGTATGATTATTAATAAATAAAATGCATTAAATGTGACTGATATAAATGTACTAGTTTATTTATTTTTGGCTACTTTGTCTTTTGTGCTAGTTATTCTTATTGTCATTATTATTATTATCAACTAAATCTCTCTCTTTGGCAATCGGTGACGTATAACCACAAGCACATAAGGGCTAATTGTTTTGAGTAGTTATGCATTCTTCATCTTTGAATGGAAGAAGTTTCAGCTATGTAGACTATGCAGTATGCAGTAAGTGTGTAGTCTCTTGTCCTGTCAGATACGTAAAGATAGAGATTAAACCAGGCACATAACTCAAACGATAACACTTCACTGAAGGGTAAGGTTCATAACGCTACACCACTTGCCGCATGCGGCTCTTTTACTGCCTCCCCTTCCGGCTCCACAACGGAATTAGATTTTTAGGTAAAAATAAAATAATCCTCCTTTGCAGTAAAATAAAGCTCTTCTGATTGTTCGATCACAGTTTTAACAATAAACGGTATGAAACGCTGGAGTTAATGTATGACTGCCAATTCAACCTTTGACACTGAAGAATGGCGCGCAGACTGATGGTCACTATAGCAACGAAGACAAGTCTCGCCTAGCTAGCAGCTAATGAAGCGACGAAGAAAAAGATTTAAGACGAACATCGATCATTTTGAGAAGAATTAACTTATCTGCGTTTTTAAGCACTCAGCTGCTTTCCTGATACGTTTAATCTGCAATGACAAACTGTCAAACATAAAAAGTCGCGTAGCTTAGGTCTCTTAACCTCTTGTTCGAATTTTCCGGTTCCACCTTAAATGGTGCAGCAGTTACATTATGGCGTCTCAGGCACTATTTAAGGTGGAACCGGAAAATTCGAACGAGAAGCTGGTAAATGAGAAGCGACTTCAGCCTCGGAAAAAGTCGAACGTTAAGAGACATTTTTTAATAAACTATTCTACTTTTTCGGAAAGGTATCCTTCGAGAAGGGCAGCTACAGCTGAGCTGAGTTAAAGCGGAGCAAAGTGCGTTTTTGTTCATATATTTTGTAGCCTATATGCTAGTACGTTAGCACATACTGACACATATTTACAGCAAAGATGGTAAAATGGACAGAAATGTTGTGGCTCCCAAGGTGTTCAGATTTTTGTTGAAGGAACAAAATGGCTCTTCGTAACATTGGGGTTGCCGACACCTGCCCTATATAGATGCTGGTAAGTGTCTCTTAACATAAAAGACGCTGAAGTGAAATGAATGCTTTTACAATAACCGACGCTTGAAATAAGCTGTTATAAATGTTTATGTATGTGTTGGTTAACGTTAGCTGTCATAAAAGGCTAGTGTAGGTGTCATGTAGCCTTACAAATGCTGCCTTTCAGTAAAGTTTTAAACTAAAACTTCATTTGGCAATGATGATGAGAATTTTAGAAGTCTTTAAGTGCAGCTGACAAAACTTTTTACACAATAAAAGTCTTTTCATTTGTTCTCAATTGCAGAGTATGATTTTCTGTCATAATTCAAGCATTCCAAGATTTGGAAAACACATCTGTTCCTGTGTGTATGTGTGAGTATGTTTGACTGTGGTTTGAAACCCACATCCCATTCTGATTGTAAATTATCCCTCAGTCAGCCCTGTTGCCATAAATTAGGTGCAATCCTGCATCATGCACCTCCCTAACACACTTACCTTCACCTTCCTCCAAAACACCAAACAATCTCAATCAATCAACCGAAAATACAATTTACATGATTTCTGCCTGCAAATGTAGTCAATCAGCCAAGACAGGGTTCTGTAGTTTTGCACTGCACACTGTAAGAAGTGCAACAGGGCAGAAGTTCATTTGAAGTATTTTTGAGCTTTGAACTGATGTGAAATATTGCTTTTATTACCGCTTATCACCCCATGAACTTGACAAATCGTTTTTAGTTACGAGGCTACAACAATGAAGCCAACAACAAGCTAACATCAATTAGCACCGTGTAAACTTCACGCTTAAATTGTCAGTCAAATTAAATTGTGTCTCAAATTGTGTCACGTTGATATGTAATCTCAAATAGACTTGCTTATGTGGTTTGTGGTTTTCTAGCTTAGCAACATACAACATTGTCTACATTAGCCTCAAAGCTTTGGTTTGCTTTGGTTGATCGACTACATTTGCAAGAAAGTGGAAATGCATACATTTGTTTTTTTTGTTGACTACTGCTTGAGATTGGTTAGGAAACATACTTTATGCAAGTATACAAATGCAAACACTTTGAACTATGCAAACAGATGCCATTCTATAGCATGTTGATTGTTGTTTTGCTTGGCCAGTGTGTTTTTTTGTCCATTGAACTGTCCCACTGGCAACAGTCACAGCAGACCAGAATTTGAACAGGCCTCTTGCAGAACTGTTTCATTCATACAAACATATGTTTAATATGTAATCGCCTCCTTATTCCAACAGAACAAGTAGAGCATCACACACTTCTCTATACTGCTAGAAAAACCAGCACACACCAGCATTGCTGGTCTACAGCAAAACCAGCATGCGTTGTGTTTTGGATGAGTTTGTATGGAAAAACATTTTGAGTTTGTATGGAAAGATCATACGTTAGCAAAGCGTTGGCTGGGTGTTGTCATTTGTGTTAGCGAACTAGTGTTGAGTATGTTTCTGGTCTTAGAATAAGGGCCCTGTATGGAGTATGTAGCCTCAAAGAGGGTGAACATGAGCCTCTGCTGATCAGAGCAGGCCTGTATTCTCTCTGTGCTGTAGCTCAGAAAGAGATGTGCTTAGCAGATTGAGGAACACACAGCAGAAGCTAGCAGTGTTTACACAGAGCGCAGAGTGGCTGGGCAGAGAGGTGGTCAGAGAGTTTTAGCGGAGGAGGGCAGTTTGAGTCCTAAGAGGGCTGCAGCACTGGACAGGTCAGTGTTCTCCCTGCTCATATCATACATTAGTCCAGTGTTTCCCAAACCTGGTCTTGGAGAACTCCTGTCCTACAAATCTTGGTGTTTTCCTGCAATAACTCACTTGATCCAGCTGATCAGTTCATTAAAAGCCCTTGCAACATGAACAAAAATGTGCAAGGCAGGAACAGAGAAGGGAGATTACAGTGATAGTCTGGCCAGAATGTGTTTTTTCATACAGTTCTTCATTTTTGTATAAACATAAAAATGTAAATTAGCCTCACATCTCCATGACAAAACTGCAAACATTAGACGACAAACATTTGGGGTAAGTCGATCAACTGACATAGATTTGGTGTCCAAATTTTGTTACTTTAGTTTAGCACTGGAGCTCTGTTGCTATCAAACAGTAGAATAGTCACCCAAACTTTTTCTAATAAATGCTCACTCAAACTGCACCTCTTTGTTAAGGTCACACAGACTTGTTGATTTAGTGCACAGTATGACTTACTGCAAATGATAAAAATGAACATGAAACTTCACTGTGCACCACATTTCAGACAGGTGGTGTGCCGAATTCCAACTTCCCCGCAGAATCCGACACATCATGAAGGCAAACAGATTCCAGATTACATTGGAGATTTATTTTTTTTCTATTAATAAACATCTATCTTCAGTTAGAAAGCTCATGATTAACAGTTTCTCAAAAACAAACAACAGAAATTGTGAATGTAATCTATGTGACGTGAAATTCGGCACTTCACCTCCTGTCTAAAGTGGCTGCTCACACTGAGAAGTTGTTTCATTTTTATGGTTCACAGTAACTCATCCTGAGCCCTGAACCACACCGACAAGTCTGCACGTCTTTATTGAACATCTAGATGCGGTTTGAGCAGGCTGATACAAGTTTCAGAAGATGCATTAACAGAAAACATTCGGGTGACTACTGACGTGTTTGTTAACAGCATTAGCCTCATAGCTCCAGCTCTAAACTAAAGAAATAAACCTCAGACACCAAACATGTCCTGGTTGATTCACTACATTTAGGGTAAGTAAAGAGAAAACTGTAAGGAAGCTATCACTTTAACCTCATCAAAGATGTAACTGTTAGATGGATATGTGCACCAGGTACGATAAAGCAGGGAAAACGCTGACCTGTTGCAGCCCTCCAGGCCTAAGACTGGCCACTGCTGCGAGTTAGAGGCTGTAGCAGTTAGAGAAAAAGCAAGAGAAAGACAGCGTTACAGTTAGAGCCTGGACTCCACTCCAGTACACTGCTCTTTGAACACACTGGATGGATGAAAATGACTCAGCTTAGAGTGCTTTCACTGACCCAGTCAGTTCCAGGACCAGCTGTGCAGTGCTGGACGTGGGTCCAGGCCTACGGCATCTGACACAAACCCAAAGGGAAAGAGACGAAGAGACAGGACTGAGGAAAGTACAGATGTCATGACATTTATTCAAGGCATGCTACAATTAAAGTTTGATTAGGAAAAAAGTCAGCAGAGACTCTGGCTTGGTAATAATAAGAATAATAATAATGATAATAATAGTTGTAACTCTAATAATGATTATGCATAATAGTAATAAGCATAAAAACAAACGCCTCCTACAAAATACGAAACAAAACAAAAAACTTCCAATCAACCATGCACTGCAAAAATTAGAAAATATGTTTCTTTAATAGTTATCTTCTATTTGCATTTTATTACATCAAACTCATAAACTGAATCCGCTCGTCCTTTCTCCCCGTTTCCCCGCAACGTCACATAAACGGCTTTACAAATGAAAGCTGGTACTGGTATGATATCAAAATACAGAAGACAAATTGTGTTTTTTTCTGTTGATGTTCATAAATATAAAAACCAGTTCATTATCTGTGTTTGTAATCTTGTTCCCGGAAAACCTTTTTTTTTCTTTTCTCTTTTTTTTTTGGCCAGGTTAAATAAAAACAAAACAAAGGGAACACATTATTTACAGCACTTGTTTCCTTTTGGTAGTGGAACATTCATACAAGCTATAAATTAGGTATATCAAGGCATGTCAAGCATTCTGAGGTCCATGCAGGCACTTCTGTATGTGTGCTGTGCCTGAGCTCCACCTCAATCGGCTCACTGAGTTTAGTCCCTCCCTTTATGCAAATTCATTCAATTACGTAATTGTAGCCCAGATCGTTTAGACGAGAAAAGGAGAAAATAGAAAAGTCAAGATGGCTGAAATTCTGAAGTTAAGAAACATTACTTTAACGCCAAGGTTTAAAGTATGAGTGCAACGGAAGTTATTTTGCATGTGATTTGTTTAGTTAAATAGTTCAGCCAATGGAATTCCTGGTTCAAGCTGTTACTAAAGTAACTTGATCTAGGTTAGTGTTACGTTAGATATGTTACAAATGTAACTTGATGTAGCTCACCACCACGCTAGCTGTGTTACTAACATAACCTGATCTAGGTTAGAGTTAGGTTAGTTATGTTACTAATGTAACTCGATCTAGCGTAACGCAACACGCGTTACCTTATGTTATTGATGGGACTTACATTATGTTACTAACATAAATTGTAACTAACATAAGTTGTTACTAACGTAACTTGATCTAAGTTAGAATTAGGTTTGTTACACTGCGTAACTTGCGCTATGTTACTAATGTAAGTTGATCTAGGTTAGCATTACATTAGCCAGTCATGTTACTAATGTGACTTGATCTAGGGTTAGTTAGATCAAGTCACACTCGTTGCCTACAGTCCATAAGTCATCTGCTTAGTCAAATAACATATAAAATGCATATTCATTTCTTATGACTGGAAGGCAAATCAAGCATATACTGTGTCTAATCTTTTACTGCCAGTCATCTTTACTAGCCAGTCTGTCACTGAGCGATCTGCATTTGTTTCACTAAAAATCTTATACAGTATTGCAGCAGGTGACTTCACTATTAGCATCCCACCCACAAACTAGGATAAAACTGCAAAGAGCACAAAACAGCCATTGCACCCGTACTTTAATTAAAAGGTTCGACTTCTCTGCTTTAAAGCAATTTTTCAGCTCAACAGTGCCCCACTAGTCTAATTTTCGTCAAATTCCTTTGGTTTTTCATTAATAAATTAATCATTACATCTTGCACATTTGAAATAAAGCTTTCTTAACTGAATTTGTATTAAGATGAGATGATGATCTAATCGGTCATGGTCCTTTTCATTCCGAATTACTAACCTAACCCTAGCAACCAAGGCTATAGGTCGAGTGAGCCGTCAATGAAATACACAGCGTAGCTTTCATGCAGGTTTGTTCAATCAGATCAACAAGGGCAAAAAGGAAAAAAAACATTCAATATCATAATAGTAGCCAGTTAGTGGGGCAGATATGGCTTGACCTTCTGTTTTAGGGGAAACAAACCGATAACATAAGACACATTCGCTTCAGTGGAAACCAGACTTTGTAACAACAATGCAAAAAGAAACAACACGAAAGAAAAAGAAGGTTCTGATATACATCCAGAAAGAAAAAGATACAAATAAGCTAGATGAAAGGCACATAAACTTTGGTCCTGCGTTATTTGTGAGTTTCTCAGTATAAAACCCATAAAAAAAAACCTTGAAAGTAAGATGTTTCAAACCGTTTTTGAGTGACAGGCTGATACCAACAGGAAATTGTCTTACATCATGGCGGGACAATGTTGCCTGAGTCAAGACAGGATCGAGAATGATTTAGTCGAGGAAAACAGTAAAATAAAGTAAAAAGAAAGAAAAATACAGCCTCGAGATGCAGTCTGACGGTATGAACAAACGTTTTCAGAGTGAACTGCTTTAGTGCCGTGTGTTTATGAAGTCTGGCTTTTTCTCCTGTTTGTAAATGAAAAGCTTTAGAGCCAAAGCAGACAATGGTACCCGCACCCAGCCAGCAGAGGAGCGAGAGCGTATCACTCCGCCACTTTAACAGCATTCAACACACACACTGATACACACACTCACCAGCACTGGTGTTTAGTGATCAGAACAAAGCTCTTGCTCTCAGTCTCTCACTCACTCACCCTCTCTCTGTCTCTCGCTCTTTAACGCTGGAGGAGAACAGCTGCCCTTACAGAAAAAACACATTTACTTCACATGTGAATAATCGTATTTGTTTTTTAGACGCCTAGCATGTTATTTTTCACACGTATGTGGAAAAACATGTGATCACTTAGAAAAACGTGATTAAAAATGGAAAAAAAAAACTGATCAAATGTGAAAGATTCATGTGAAAACTGGGTAATCACGTGAAAAAAGTGATTATGTAAAAAAAAGTCTGATCACACGCGGAAGAACGCGATAACGTGAAAAACATGATAACATAAAGGAGAAAAGGTGTTATCACATGCAAAAACGTGTGATCATGAGCTGTTTCAGAACATCACATTTTATCACATTTTATTCACGAAATTACGTGTGTTTACTTGCGGTCACATGGTTTTTAGACGCTTCACATGTAAAATACATACGACTTTTCTGAAAGGGTGACTCTGCCCATGCAGACAGACAGACTGACCACCACCTAGCCAGTTTTCACATCCTTACAAAATAAGAAAAACAAGAACAAAAAATATCACTACAGAGCACAAAACAGGCCAAACCCCCTAAAATGAATTCATTATAAGATACAGTAAATAAGATAAAATTCCAAAAACCACACAGACACACAATCACACATACACACACACACATAGGGGAGGTCTCAGACAGCTATGCTCAAAAACAGCACTACTGAAGGCAAACCTGAAAAGCTGCACTGGATGCTGTGGGTTTCTCTTTTTGAGCGTAGGATGACAACATCTCATCAACCGTTTAGGCTTTTCTGGACAGGGTTCAGGTTGGTCAATTTAGCCTGATCAGTTAGGCCTTAGAAATCAAAGCTAGTGCTGGGGATACCAAAAGCATGCAGTAATTTAATATGAACAGTGGGGGCGATGTTGTGGTAATACTCTCATTTCTTTAAGTTTTGGTTTTAAACAGAGTTAAAATCCCAGAACAGCCAATGAAATATTGTGCAATCACTGTTTTCTCAGTGGGGTCTAGGTATATACAGCAAGATGAGCTCCCATTAGTTAGGACTGAGGGCGTTGCATGTTAGATTAGCTACTAATGTAATTAGGAAGTGACAAAGGAATCAACCAATCAGGTTTTGATTTACAGTAGGTGTGAGAAAAACATCAGTCTAGGTCTAAGTGGTAGATACATCACTGACTCTGAATACCATCAGTATTCTACCAGATTTCAGTCAGAAATCTCCAGGACTCTTTACTAAAAGAGTCACACAAGATAAAATATATGTTAATGTTTGTTGCAAATGTCTATGTTTAACCTACAATGGCCAAAAAAAAGTTAATGTACATGACCATTAGCTTAGTGCTAACATTGTATTAGAAATCCCATAGAGGGGTATTACCAGATATTACCATTACTGTAAAGGTGGGTTTTGATATTCATGGCCCAATCTGATGGCCTGTACTAGTCATGGTTCTCACTTGTAGATGATTGAACAAGTGAAGAAGTTCTGTTGATCCACAGAGGTGTTTGTAAGAACATCAGGATATGTTTTATTATGATTTGAATTTGATGAAAAGTCACTATTATGTGTAAGGTCTTGTTTTAGTGGGAAAAATGAACATTTACATAAATCTTTACAATTTTGTTTTCGTCATCATTTCATCTAAACTGTCAATACACGGTGTGAAGAGAACGTTAACATAAGTCATTACAAAACTAATAAATTATGTTATTACACAATTACACTTAAATAGCACAGTGAGACACTAGTAACAGCTCTGGGCTTTTGAGGGTTAAGCCATATGTTTTATAATTTACATATACAGCACATAATAAACTGATTCATAATGCAGTAGCGCTTGTGCATGACATTCATGTTCAAGCTTTGTAATAATAACAGGCTTTAGAGTATCAGGAACTAATCTCATAGCCAGTCCAATTGGAGCTCATATAAAAGGCAGCCTTATGCGACTGTAATCAAGTGACACGTTAATAATTTCTGCACAAGCAATTATTTCCACATGAACATGCATTTATGATGCAAACCCGTGAGAATAAATCATTACTGAGTCACTTAATGGGCTGCTGCTCATTTGAAAATAATCACCAATATAATCATGCTGATGTGAATCTGAATGCTGGGGAAACATTAAGGCTGCCGTAACTACAGCAGATAAAGGGCCGAATGTTAAAAATTAAGAAAGGTATTTAAAAGTCTGATCAATAAAATAGACAGTTCTCTTTGAAAAGACCGTTTTAGATGCTCGCGGCATTGCTGTGTTCATTTCATGCCATTTCGTCATGTCAAGCCAGCGGTCCACAACGTCCAACACAACCTCCTAAGGCTAGCACTTTGTTCTGGAGACAGAATAAAGGTTTAAAAGCCTCTGAAATTCATCTTAAACTACGCAAGACCCTTCTTTTTCTCAGCATTCACACAAGTGAGGAGACCCACAGCACACAGAGCTTTTCAGATGTAACCTTTCATTTCTCCAACGTGCATTCAAAGCACCAAACGTTAACTTAAGATTCGAATAAAGACCACACAGTAACTGAGTCCCCACAAAAATACACATCTAAAAAAAACCCTACGAGAAAATAAAAGATCAAATAAAATCAACCCTCTCACCAACCCACAAAATAGTACTTAAGATATCTTAGGTAATATTTCTAAAACCTATTTGATTATAAACACATTATAAGGCACATAATAAGAAAAATTAAGTAAATACACAGTAAATATGATTTTTTTTTTTCACCATGATTTTTTTTGAATGATTATAGTGGTACAAAAACCCAATGAGGTTTCAAATTTGTTTTTTTTTCTGTTTCTCTCCATAAAAAAGAACAAATTACCAAAAATAAGTAACTTCTTTTTTTTCCAAAAAATCTTGACAATCCTTAAGATATATAGACCTGAATAGTTTTGCTTTAAGACTGTAAACTTCAAAAAAATTCTTTCAATTTCTTTTGAGAAGTGTTAGCGAAGTGTGGAATCGCTTCAGGTAAAATTAGCAGAAGGAAAAAAAAGAAGGAAAATAAAGACACTGTCCCTTGCCTTGCATTTCTGTATCTTCGTTGTATGTTGAGCTGATCTTGCTTGTGAGATCTTTTCTAATACAGGACTCAAACAGGCACAACATTGAGTCAGGAACAGGAGCAGCGCCCTCTAGTGGGTCTGCAGTGACCCTCCTTGGAATGTTAAGGCTAGACCTTGGCAGCACGACACAGCACCTTGCCTGTTTGCACAAAGTTATGCACTAGAGAGCCGGAGTGGTCAACCTGCTGCTGGACGTCTATCAGCCTGCACTTTAGTCTCAACCTCTTTTGAGCTGGATTAGTTTGACCAGAGGAGGTTCTGTGATTTATGGGATTACTGAGGAGACCTGTGATTTTAATGAAGTATGAATCTACAGTGTGCACAGATTTTACCTGAACCGCAATCGGGTTCAGAATTGTTTTATGCATATACATATATCTGAAAATTTCAGAGCTTCTTTGCCCAATTTTATTCTTTACTTTGGGTTCACATCCATGATTCTGTCCTGTTTTTTATGACCTATCAGCTATAATGTTTCAATCCAACTATATGTGATAATTTTAGGGAACTACACAGATACTTTAGCTCGTATGAATCAGCCAGTCAAATCCCATTCCAGAACCTCCTGTGGTAAAGCCGAACCAGTTCAAATAGTGCTCAATACTCCTGGCCCAGTCCATCTTCAGGAGCAGGTGTAGTAGATCAGGGTTAAGTCTCAAATCTGGAGGCTGTTAGTTCTCTGGCAGCAGGATTTCGCACCCCTGTCCTATGGTCCTGATGTTTTACAGATTTCAGCCACTTGTTTGAACAGCACTATGCGCGCGCACACACACTCACACACACACACACACACACACACACACACACACACACACACACAATGAGAGCTAAGCATCCCTACTGAAGTCGTGTCACAATATAATGCGTTATAACAGCGTTACAGCACATTTCAATGTATTATGAGCACTTCTGTAACGCAGTGGTAGTTTCAGCAGGGACAGCTCCCAGTTCCACAAGGACACACCTTCTCTCTCTCGATCTCTCTCTCTCCCTTGCTAATTTTCTGGGTTTTTTGGTTTCATTCAGATGTGGAGGCATTTAGTGTGGGACAGCAAGGCAAAAGAGAGTGGCTGCTGTACAGTGACAGAATAAGAGCCATTACTGCTGCAGGATCCCTTTAAGAAGAAGACCAGGCCTCACAGCCAAGGAGGGAGAGGAAACCATAGAAACAGAATCAGCAGAACGGAGTCTCCAAACAGGTCTGTTCTACTCAGTCTAGCTCTATGGAAAGAGACCCGGCAAGACTCGCTCCTAGAGATTACTTGCCATCGTGTCACAAGACAGAAAAGAGAGAGAGAAAAAAAAGGAAATGCGTTTGGTTCTGAGAATCGAATTAGGCTAAAAGGGGGGAACCGAATGGAGCATTAATCAATTCCCAACAAGAAAGCATCGTCAGGGGGCTACATCATTCACATTCAAAATTCCACTGAAGAGGAGGGCGGGGCCTCCTGACAGCTGGGCACTGCTGATTGGAGTGTTCCAGTAAGATTGACAACAGCTGGCCATGCTTTCCTGGAATGGTCGTGCATGTTTTTTTTTTCTTCGTTTGCTTGTTTTGTGTTTTTCTTTCTGTTTTGTAAAAACGGTTCTCTCCGGCTCAGCCGCTGACAGTCATGGTCAGCATCCCACGCAGTCAGTCGTGCGTGAATGCATCAAGACAGCCGTCCAGGTGAGGTGGGCCCATAACAGCCTTGTCCGTTTGTGAAAAGAAAACAAACAAACAAACAAAAAACAAACAAAAAATATATCCCCCCAATTCACAGGCGAAATCAAAAGCATTACCACTCACCATTCACCATCTATTCACAGATCCGTACTGTCTGGGCAGTAAACACATACGAAGGTCAAAAACTCTCCTCACGTTGCCTGTCTTCAGTTCAAAGACCGAGCAGGAGGTAAGCTGAACCAGCTGAGTCTTGAAAGGGAGCCTGTCATTTTGTCCATCACACCCATATTTTACTGCTACTCAAAATTTTAGGGTCAGCCCGTTGGTAAGAAATGTCGCTACAGGGCTTCTTATCCAGCAGCACCTTGTGATGACATCAGAGACATTCAAAGAAGCGTGCCTGGATGATGTCGCACCCACTTGGTTGAAACCGCCAACAGTTATGGTAGATAGTGCCAGTGGTCAAATGCAACAAGGCTATTGGGCTACAGGAGTGTCCATCTCCGACTTTCTCAGCGAAAGTCAGTCGGTGCAGCAGAAATCATTTTCAGCACTTTAACTGTTCAGAAAACGTCCTTCCTGTGCAAGTCTGCTGCGACAGGTCACCGTTCAAACGTGTGTGCTGTGATGGCTGTTAAGAACAGAGGAATCAGCTTCCTTGCTACGGAAGCTCCCGCATCTCCAGCCCTGAATTCAGGACAAGTCTTAAAAAATAAAAAGAAAAACACCTTCAGTCTCTACCTGAAGGCTATACAGTAGTCTCTAGCTTCTTTAAACTTTTTTCATCCCTAAAAGTCTCTAAACCTACCCGATTATGTTTATTTTTTTTATTTAATTTTTTTTATTTTGCTTTTTTTTCCTTGTCTTTAGGTTCATAGTTCATTGGTCAGGTGTCACTCATAATTAACCAGTCCGGCCGCCGCTGTAAGTAGGAAGTGAGCAGGGCAGAGAGGAAGGGCGTTAGATGGTGGATTTGGAGAAGGACACTCGTAGGTGGTGGTTCTCGCCCAGGTCGTGGTTGTGGAGTTCGATTAGCGCTTGGATGGCCTCCTCTACCGAACCCAGCTGGATCAAAGCCATCTTACGGTCCTTCCTGTTGTCAGGGAACACAATGAGAGAATTTCTCCAAACTGAACAACAGAGGTAACATCACTTGTCATTAGCTATGCATGAAAACCTCATCTCTGTAACTGTATTCTTAACATTCATTAATGTTACAAACTTAATGTAGAAAACTTAAATATGACACATTTCTACACATTTTAAGCCACAATTTAACATACAATCTAAACACTTTTTGTCTGTAAATTTCACTGTCGTTAAGAATGCAAAACATCCAGATAAATATCTAGTCAAGCCAGAAACAAGTGCTATGATCTGATGAAACTCTTTGGCTAAAATCACCAAAGATATGTTTAGAGAAAAAAAAAGAAGCAGCATTTGATGAAAAGAACACCTTGCCACTTGTTAAGCTTGGTGTGAATCTATTATGCTTCGGGGTTGTGAGGCAGACACACATGCTTTGGGATTGTGTGTCATAGGAAATGTTATGGGAATAGAGGGATTGAGGGAAGAAAAGATTCTACTAAATATCAACAAATCCTGGAAGCTCATGTCTTAGAGTCAGTGAACAACGTGAAGAAGAGGTTGGATATTACAAGATAACTTTACTTTTCATTCGTAAATGTTTACATGCCCAAGCTCCAGTGTATTTGCAGGTTCTTTTCCTCAGATTCATGCAACAGTTTCACTGAGGGCTGGGTCCTCAAACCTGCTGGTAGCTCCACGCTCAAAGTTACACTACATGGGTGACCATGAGTTTAGTGTATTGTGTCCATGATTATGGAATGAGCTTCCTGGATCTTTCTCTCTTTTTAAAATAAATCTTAAAACCTTTCTTTTTAGATGTGTTTTCTGAATTTAGTTTTATTTTGAAGAAGAATCTTAAGATGAATCTTTTTCATCTTTTAGATGTTTTTTTCTGAAATAATTTTTTGTGGGAAGTGCCTTGAGTCGATGCTGTCATGAAAGTGTGCTATATAAATTATATTCATTATTATTATTACAATGCAAGCATGTAAAACGTACATAAAATTAACCTTGATCTTCAAGAAACAAAAGATTAAGGTCTTAAATTCAGACTTGAATATTGCAAAAAACTATGGGTAGATCTGCATGATGGTCTTGCTAGATGACTTTTGAATATTTATGAACTAGAAGCCATCTGCAAGGAAAAGTAGAAAAAAAATCAAATCAAGAAAATCAAGAATAGCAAGGATGTTAGCTGGAAAAAATGTTTGGAGGCTGTGATTTCAGCCAAAGGCGGAATTACTATGTAGTAACAGAAAAGGTGGCCAAATGTTTCCACATTGTTATCCCTCACTATGTTAAATTCAGTAAATAAGTAATAATTGTGTATTAAAATTTGCAGAAATGTGTCATTGTATAATACTGGGTCCATATGCACAGACACAGTAAGAATCGTGGTCCTGAAGCAGTTATTATCAACCCAGTCTAAGAACACCCTGACATTCGCCTAAAATAAGGTTTTCTTTTCCAGTGTAGTCTTATTCAGGTCATGATTCAGGTTAGGTCAGGTCATGAGGGGTAGGGGTTCTTCAAAATCACAACTGAGAAACACTGCCTTACTGCAACTGCTAACTTCAGTCTCTAACAGAGAAACGGTAGCAGTAGGTCTGTAAACAAAGGCTCGAACCTGGAACAGGTGCTACTATATATGCAATATGAGCCTGAATATTAAGCATTAAGAAATGTAATAATTACTGGTAACTATCACTGTTGATCACTCAGCTGCAGTAATCACAGTAAGAGGTGTGCGCCTGGTAGGGTGCTTTTAATGTCAGGCTTAAAGACCCACAGTACTACACAGTTAAGGGTTCAGCTTAATCTAACACACCTGATTCAGGGGGTCGACAATTAGCTGATGTGTTACATTTTGATGTATTTAAACTGGGAAAAAATACTAATCATTCTAGTTTCTGATACATCACCAGGACTAGAAACTACTAGCCGAGCAAAAGTCCTTCATTTGACCAAACATTAAGCAACACGACAGTCTGTATATACAAAGTGTCCCCCCTGTGATCAAAGTCTATTACCGCCATCTAATTGTGCTGTAAGTGTACTACATCTTGACTGGTTTGAACCTTGCTTGGCTTGTCCGTTATACTTAACACATTCATGTTTAACAAGGAAACAATAAGGAAACAATGAGGGAAAACAGCACACAACTTGTTCCGATCGGTCTAAAGTGATTTATAGTTACTACACAGTCGCATGCAAAAGTTTGAACATTAAAATTACATATTAAGTTGACTTTCTAAGTGAAAACAAGTTCTCTACAGAGAAGACACTTAAATATAGCATTTATCTGCAAATTGTAGTGCAACTTGTTTGGTCTGAGTTTAACATATATAAAAAAAAAACAAGAAAATGTGCCATAGCTTTTGATCAGGCAAATCAAAGCAATTTAAGAATAAAGAATATATTTAAGAATACATTTGAATTTTCTCTTGTTTTGATAAAATTCAGGAAAATTCAAGAAATTCAGTGTTTGTACTGATTTGAAAATGCGTGCCAAGGGAAGCTCACAGAACACATGAACAAACTAGAATTTTAAATATCACATATTAACATTCATGGGTTAATCAGAAAGTTGGGTTAATCAGAAATGTGTACACAAAGCTATCACAAAGCTAAGTACTTTGCCTCAGAGGCCATAACAGAATATGCAAAACAGCTATGAGTATATAAACTACTGACTAAATTAAATATATGCACTGCTGATTTTGGCTCCATAAGCAGAGACCCTCAGCAGATCTGGTGCATATACCTCTGTTTATGTAAGTCTGTGTGTTTGTGTGTAAAGCTTCACTGTCTTGTTAAACATGAGTCACCAGTGACAAACAGCTGGTGCTAAAGAGAACTTACTGGAAAAATTTGAATGCTTTGACTTTGTATCCCGCACTCGAGAACAGGTCCTTCAGCATGTCATCCGCAATAGAGGGCCTGAGCATGAGAGCAGAGAGAAAAAGAAAAAGAGAGTTTACAAAACTGTAAACAGTGGAACCACAGCAAAACAACCACTTTAAATAAAAGAAGATTATGACTGTGATAAGTGCTACAAAACACACGAACAAGATTATCATGTATTAGAATAATTAGAATACATTTACTTCAATATTATTTTAACTGCTGCTTTAGCTGCTAATTATTGCATACAACATTTTCTGAATTATAGCCATGATAAATTAAATTAATTTGAGATAATTCAGAAAACTGTTGATGATATACACACACACACACACACACACACACACATATCTATATACACACATTTGTTAATACGACATATGGTTATCTAACATATTACATGTACATTCTTAACTATCAAATTAAGTAAAGGTAACAAGATTTTAATCATTTATTATTTATTAAGTAATTATGGACAGTTTCTATTGATCTATTTATTTTCACATGGCAGCTAGCATTTTAAATTGTTTTAAAATTGTGTTAAAAAAAAATAAAACACTATATATATAGTGTTTTAGTTTTTATATAAAAACACGCCAAATGCCAGCTGTCTCTTATATATAATTTATTATTAATTAATACTCTTAGTTGTGTGTAGATATATATTTATACAACATATGGGACATATGATTGACTAATTGACCCCACATCCCAACAAGGTATAAACATAAACATAAATATAATGTGTGTGTGTGTGTGTGTGTGTGTGTGTGTGTGTGTGTGTGTGTGTGCGTGTGTGAGTGTAAGAAAAACTCACGGGATGTTGGAGAGGTGCAGGGTGGCTGAGGGTGGGAAGATGTTCTGGAAGTTTTTGGAGCCTGGTTTTTTGAAGCGGTGTAATGGGCTGCCACTGAAATCCTTGGTCAAACCCTGATCCTCCTGACCCTCTCGTGGCAGCTGGACTGTCTGGTGCTTGGAGATGGTCACCCGGATCACCCTGCCGTGCAGCCGCTGACCATTCAGATGGCTCATAGCTGATAAAAAATAATAATTTGATCACTCCACTGTTTGAATACAGAGCTGCATAATGTAGAATTCATTCACTGTTTTTGCCATTTGCAATACTGATTCAGAATGTAAATGAGCCCTGTGTGCTGTGAGCATCCTAACCAACCAGAGTTCCAGTTAAGTCTTTCTTTGGGCATCTGGATAAATCAAAAATTTTCATGTGGTCATTATATAAATTTTTATGTATGGCCATCGGCTGATACATAAAAATATCAGATATGGGGATTTACCCACAATTCCCACATCGGTGAATCCCTAAGGCTTATAGCCCTGATGTTAAAAACATAGTAGACCACTGTTTACTTTTAGAAAGCCTTTCGTACACAAAAGCACATGCTGCTGTGCGCAATGTTAACAGACAGTCAGACAGTTGCTTCATTAGGCATGAAAACATACCCCCCTAAAAAAACAGATCGATAGTGGAAGCTGATCAAAAGGACTCAGCAAATGTAGCACATTCAGTTAAAAAGCATCCCACATACCGAGCTGGGCCTGTGTGGCATCCGCCATCTGTACTAAGGCATTCTCTTTCTTGTTGAACAGAATCTTAACTCTTTGGACGTCCCCATAAACTCCTACAGAGAGAGAGAGAGAGAGAGAGAGGGAGGGGCACACAGAGACAGAGAGAGAGAGAGACAAAGGAAAGAGAGGGGCGAGAGAGTGGAAGAAGAAAGAAAGGAAAAAAGAAAGAGAGGAGAGAGGAAGAGAAGAAAGAAAGAAAGAAAAATGAAGAGAGCAAGAGAGACATTGAAAAATACAGAGAGGGTGAATACACAAAAATAAGGAGAAAGCGAAAGAGAAAAATGGAGAAAAAGTAAGAGAGAAAAGAGAGAAAGAAGGAGAAAGAGAAACAAAGGAAGAAAGAAAGAGAAGGGCGAGAGAGTGGAAGAAGAAAGAAAGAAAGAAAGGAAAAAAAGAATGTGAGAGAAAGAGAAGAAAGAAAGAAAGAAAGAAAGAAGAGCAAGACAGACATTGAAAAATACAGAGAGGGTGAATACACAAAAATAGGGAGAAAGCGAAAGAGAAAAATGGAGAAAGAGTAAGAGAGAAAAGAGAGAGAAAGAAGAGGAAAGAGAAAGAAAGAGAAAATAGAGAGAGCAGACAGAGAGCAAACACAAACATGTAATGCTATATTTATAAGGACTTAAACTGACTCCACTTATACTGTAACTAAATAACTGCAAGTTAATCACAATGAGAAAATGAACTTCACAAGTCCTTTTTTTGCATGTTACTATACTTGGGAGGACATCTGGTACACAAACACCAACAAACAAACGCGCTTTGTCTCGTGTGTTTTATTGCGTTCACAGGTTGGCACCAACAGCAAGGAAAATAAAGCCTTTTTCTGTCTATCAGGAACATCATTCAAACTAAGGTCTGGCTAGTTCAGCTACTGACAGTTATTAAATTGTGAGGACAATAACAGCGGCACACAACTGTGGGTGTGTGTGCGAGAGCGAGCGTGTGTTTGTGTACCAGTATGTAACTCTGATATGATGGAAGGTGCCATTCTGTATCTGTAAGTAATCTCCTGACTGTGTTTGTGAGGAAATAGCCCCATCTCTTCTCCCAGCCCTGCACTGCCTTCATAAAAACAACCTTCCACAAATCTAATTTAGGAGAGTAATAAAACCTTACCAAACAGGATGAACAGGCCGTGTGGTGATATACTCTGCATAAAGGAGAGAATTATACTTATTATCTACCACAGAGACAACTGATCAACATTTCGAGAGTAGGGGTGAGGGGTTTGTTAGAATACAGACAGAACAACAGCATGCAGAGTTTTATTGATCTGCTGTGAAATATGCATTCATTCTTACACACACATTGAAAACTACCCAGAACTACAGACGGGTGACAAATAAAAAAAAAAACAGACAATACATAACAGTCCTACCCTGCGCTCACACAGTCAGCGTCGTGGCAAAGCGGCTGGAGGCGACGCAAAGTGGGCGGAGTCGGCAACACGACAAAGTTGAGCAAAGTTTAACTTTATGCAAATAAGAAGCGATGCGACGTGGTGACTGCCAATAAGAATTGAGCATTCAGCCAGAGAACTTGTAGAGAGGAGAATTACCACTCTGTAATGTCTTTCAGGCTTCTCCAACGCTCCCGAGCGAGTCCAAAATGAATGTGTTGGTCATGAGCATTTGAGCAAAATCATAGTTTATAAATGCTTAAACATTTTTAATATAAAAGAATACATTCATTTCCCGAACACTGAACAGCGTAAAACATTTTAACACTGCTGTTATATTTTAACTCGAGTTACAGGAGTTTTTAACAGCGCCTCATGTACGTTCATGACGTCAGTGAGTGCGAACAGCCAATGAGCTGCTCCGGACATCAACCAATCAGCACTCAGTAGTAGTAATGTTAGCGTCCTGTTGCCCAAAACCCGCTTAATGTAGAAAAAAAAAACATACAATTGAGTTTTCTTTGCTTTTCTAGTGAAATACATCCTTCTACTTTCTAGGAAATTCAAGGAAAGTTCTGGGCAAGTGATTAGAAACTATTTTGACTTTTCGTTTTCAGCCGTTGAGCTCCATTTACTCCCATTCATTGATGTCTCACTCGCAGGCGCCCTCTGGCGTTTTGCAGTCATATTTTTGATATAATGGGGGAAACAGGAAGTGGCCAAGCTCCTCAGAAACTGGCCCTGATTCAGCAGCCAGTATGTGCTTTATCTCCACCACTGTGAAACAGTACACTCCGTTTTTGGTTCCTAGATAACTGTTCCTACTAGAGATTGAATAACGGCAGCGGTGCTCTTGCCGCAAATAGACAGCAATTGCAAAGACCAAATACTGTTTTCCTCACATACTGACTACACAGACACAAGATTAAATAAAAATAAGCACACAAGCGATTTCTCACCAGGATTTTAGCGGGAACGCATCTGATTTGTGCTTGGCGTCAGTCAAACCATGCCAACCAACGGTCAGCTGGAGTTCAGAAACGCCCACAGGCGATCATCGATTTAGGTGACAAGAGGCGAAAATTCGCTGCCGGTGTGAACGCAGGGTCAGTAAGGTGTTGGGCCACCACGAGATGCCAGAACAACTTGGTACTGATTCTACTACTCTCTGGAACTGCACTGGAGGGATGGAACACCAATCCTCCAAAAGATATTCCCTCAAACTTTGCAGGGACCCTTCGCTCAAAAAGGACAAGTAGACCCGGGAAAATGCCCCTCAAAGCATAACAGCCACTTGCCCCCTTCACTCTAGGGGTCCAGCAACCAGGCCTGTACTGTTATCTTGGTGTATGCTGCACATGCACTCACCCGCTTGAGGAGAACACTGTGAAGGACATATTACTTGTCTTCCACATCTCTGTAGACCAGTATTGATGGTTTTTACACCACTGAACTCTCACATGATCATTCATTTTTGCATTGAGGAGTTTATGTACTGCAGCCCTACTATACCATCCCTCTCTATGTAGATGTGAAACAGTCTGATCATGTCCTGCTTTGCGTCTCTGTCCCCTGAGGAACAGTTGCTCTTCTGTTTTTTCTTGCATATCACACTAATGCATGAGCATCACATTTACTAAACATGTGCTTTTCAACACAGTTTACTGATGACTTTCCCATCTAAATGCAGATGTCACCTTAGTCACGATCACTACTGAAAAACTAGACAGTTTTAATTGTAACTAAATCACCTGCCTTCCATGCCCCAATAATGAACCCTTTCAAAGTAATCATCTCCTCTTACCAGCTTGAGCCAAAATTGAGGTCAGCTGGGCTTGATTAGCATTTTATACCCACAACACAGACAAATGGCATGATAGGACATTAACATCTTAATTATATCATACAGTGCACCTGTTATGTTTCTCCTCTCAATTATTCAGGTTTTTCTTTAATTTGTCACCCCTCTGTTTGTGTATGTATACGCTACATGGACAAAAGTATTGGGACACCTACATATTACACCTACAGCAGCTTTTATGACATTCCCTTCTAAATCAACAGGCATTAATATGGAGTTGGTCCCACATCTGCAGCTATAACAATTTGAAACTCTTTAGTGAGTGATTTAACAGAGGATAGGCACTGTGTGCTTCAGCACTCTGTGGCCCCGCTCTGTGAGTTTGCGTGGTGTACAGTTTCGTGGCTAAGCTGTTGTTGCTCCTAGACACTTCCATTTCACAATAACAGCACTTACAGCTGACAGGGGCAGATCCAGCAGCACAGAAATTTCACAGCCTTACTTGTGGCAGAGGTGGCATCCTATGCCACATTTAAAGTCACTCATCAGTCCGACCCATTCTACTGTCAGCGTTTGTCTATCGAGACTGCTGGCTATGTGCTTAATTTTATCCACCAGTTAGCAATGAGTGTGGCCAAAACACCTGAACTCAATAATTTGGATGGGTGTCCCAATACTTTTGTCCATATATATATATAGATGACTGATGACTGATAATTAAAGACTGATAATTAAAGGAGTATTTTATTGTTTTTACACAAAAATGCTAATGTGGCTAACATGAGCGATTTGGGAGATTTACAAGGTTAGTCGTATGAATTACTTAAGAATGTATCAGTGAATTTCAAAGAGAGGTTGAATTTTGGCTCATAACTGAACTACTCGTAACTGAACTAGAGAAAACAAGAAGAAACGTCCTGCCAATTAGCTTACCAGAATCATTATTAGCCTCTTTAGCATTAGCAACAATGGCATTTTTGGGATGAAAAATGCCTTTAAAAGGGCAAGATGGGTTCAGTAGGGTGTGTGGTTAGAGAGAGGATTGGGGAGGGGGGGCACTCACGTCAGGATTGAGGTTGGAGACGAGGAGAACAGAGTGGAGGGCAGTGGGGGCCATGCCATGGATGGCCATCCGTCCGGCTACAGCCGAGGTGGGGATAGTGAGGGGTCCCAGAGCGCCGGGCATGGCCTGCATGGAGAGACCTGAGCCCACCAGGAGAGGGGCAACAACATCAGAAAGAGGAAAGAGAACGTAGAAAGAAGTTCCTCCGTTTTCACTAGAGATTTCTCAGCTTTGTAATTATGGTTGGGTGGCATGACGTGCTATTTGGTTTTTCTAAGCCTATAAAAGCTTTGAATACAGTCCTTTGTGAAACTTAAAGGGAAATTCCACTGATTTTCCAAAATTTTCCAGAATTCAGCTGTTGAGATATAAACAAAGTCATTCTATGTGATTTACTGTGAAATGCTGTGGAAATGTACCTTTGCAAAGTGTGTTTACAGTGGTGGTGATAGGAACCAGCGGTTCCAATGTCTACAATTGAAATATAGTCATTTTAAAACTATTTACTATTGATAATTTCTTTGAGTACTGTCTTGCCTTAGAACACCTTACATATACCTCTCTGCTATTTTAAAAAACATCTTAGGCTAAAGCAAAAACGATCAAAAGACTATCACAAAACAATGTCACAGGCATCAGGCAGCTTTTTTCATACTAATTGCATATAATAACTTCATGTGAGGGAGCTTTTAGAGCATTACACTCTCCAGACGTCTGATTCCTATCACCACCACTGTGAACAACTCTGACTCACACCAAACCACTGTGAACGACTTGTATTAATGATGTAATTATGTAAGAATTCCCGTTCAAGGACCTTTACAGGCTCTCAATAACGCTCCAAGATCCATGAAGTTCTTCAGTGATCTATAAGTGCTCACCATACCCATAATACACTCAGAAAAGCATACTGTGACATAATTTATTAACATATTGTCACATTGCTCACCCTGTTTGTGAAACTGCAATGTTAAAAAAAAACGTGCTTCAGTCTTAAATAGTGCCATTTTGCTGATTCAGTATCATGAGTTTCAGCTGCTGCTTTTCAGATGCTGACTGTTGCATTTCAAACCTGTGTAGGTTCGGATACATGAGGGAAATGAGAGAGAGGGAGGGTTGAAAGGCAACACAGCCCGACTCAGTCGCAGTGAAAACGGAGCTTGTTTTGAAGGGAAAGATTACGAGAGGATGAGAAAGAAAAGGAGGAAGGTCTCTGAGGACCAACTGCAGGTTTCCAACATTTTACTGCAGAGAAATGCATCATAGAGAAATCATACCAAACATTTATTACTGTTCTGATTTACAGTGATATATTTTGCTGAAAGACGTGATGCACTGAATTTACTTCATTCAAATGGACATCATTTCCACATGAACAAAATATTACATCAATGCAGTTATTGTCTCACTAAAATAGGTAAACTGTAAGCTATACTGTCTTGATTTAATGTGTTCTATTTATGTGGAAATGATGCACATATCTGAACCAAGTACACTCAATGCTGGGGATCAGAATCAACCAAAACTGAAATGGGCAGATTTGTGCTCCAAACATGCAATCTGTAACTGTCCAGTTTTTTATGTTGATTTTGGCTGTGTTGCAATTTTATGATGTAAATTATGCGAGGCAGGGAAGTGCACACTTTATTCAAAGCATCATTTTTTTCCAGTGTATAAGACACTCAGGAGCACTTCTGGCAGCACTGCAGAGATAAAGAGCAAAACAGCAGAAGAGTGAACACTGATATGTGCAGGCATATTGCTTGGTTACTAATCAATAGCTAATTTTTTTACAGTAATGGATTTATGCCTGTTCTGCTGTTTGTTGTTATGGAAAGCGCACTCAGCTTTGGCCGATATGGACAATCTCATTTTGTTTCATTTGCGGAGCAACACTTAACATGAAGGCATGTCATGCAAGTAGCTCTGGACATTACAGGATAATCTCTCCAATCATTAATCCTAAATAGAGGCATGAGTCATGGGCCATAGTCTTCATTACCATGCTTTGGCTGTTTGTGTGCTTGTGTGTGTGTGAGAGAGAAACAGATATGCCAGTTTTTTTTATATGTGGGTAAGCAATCTTACCTGCAGCCTGAGGGAAACCAACAGCGGGAGCGAAACCAGCCGCTCCAGCGTATGGAGAAGAGATGATTCCAGGAGCGCCTGCACGCAAACACAGACACACCAACGTTGGGATGCCATAGCGTACAAATCATACATGAAACCTGGTGAACGAAGTAGGCCTATAAATATGTTAGCAAAATACTTCAATACAGATAAATGTGATGATAATTAAGAGAAAAATGACGGACTATTAATAACTGTTATGGCAAAATCAACAAATATTCATAGTTCAGTAAAAACACGTTGGAAACAATTTATTTGCAACACAAAGGGTCAGTTAGTGCTTATTTATCCCTGCTGCGTTAATGTAAATGACTTGCATTAACAACCCTTACAATCATGTCATTCTGATATAATCACATTGTACTGAAATTAATAATAGGTAGTGAAGTCAGATGGTGGGCTAAGCACTGCTGGAGACTGTTTTGGTACAGCTCAGTGTGTGCATAGCACCTCTTCACTCAATGAAACACAATACAATGATGGTGTAACATGATTGGTGTGGGATGTCTTTTAGAACGCACATTGTCAAAAAATTTTCTATTAATAATACAAACAATATATTTTTTGACAACCATCCTACGACCCCTCAAAGTTCTTATGTAATTCCGAAAAAAATAGGGGGAACCCCCGTCCCCTCTTGAAATTGCACCAGCCCTTACAAGATATCAACAATGTTTTTAAAAACAAGAAATTTTCATTATTTTGTAATGTATTTATGGTTATTTGCATTTCTTCTAATGATATATTGATATACAGCCTTTAATTATTGCCAAGAGCAGTGGTGTTAAATAATGTGCTTAGGTGCCCAAGACCTGTTTATGTGAAGAAGAGAGACTCAAATAAATTAAACAATACCAAAGACATTACTGCACTTATCTGAGTCACAAAAGCTTGGGTGTGTAGTTGATATATACTCTACAGAGAACACATTTATGCACATTTCAATGTACAATCACTGTTTATTTGCTGAATTTTGAAAAAATACATATTGAAAAAAAAACTGTGCAAAAGTTATGGCAGATTTAATGTTTTATATTTTATTTTTTTCCAATATGTTTAACTGTTCCCTGTAGAGGAAGTGTCTACTTTCATTTTAAAAAATAGACAGAAATTGACCACTGGTGTTCAAACTTTGTATAAGCGTGCAGCAGCATTTCAGCTGTTACTAAACGAACACTATGCTCATAAAGATGGTTTAGAGTATTTTGAGCCTAACTGCCAAAAGACCAAAAGATCCCTCACAGTGACAACCACTCCACTCTACAGGAAATGAAAAAGCCCAGACCTAAGTAAACAAAGCTCTTGTGGCTCTACACTGAACATATCAGGCATACCATAAAGCAGCAGATTTAGGGGAAGTGTAGAGCATCTCACCCCGCCTGATTACACAGCGCACCCACAATTACAGACCAACACTGGCATCCTCTTCTCACGCCCAGCCACCAGCGTCGGTTTCACCAGCCGATTTCAACAGTGATGCTGACTTCCACACTGAGATACACTTCTACACACATGTACATGTTCTGAACAATTCATTCTGTGCACAAAGTCTTGAAACTCATGAGAACATGCAGGTGCACTAGTTAAACGCCGAAAGTTTCTAAGTGAAAGTAAATACACATCCTCTACGGAGAACAAACTAAATTATGGTATTTTCTGCAAATTGCAGTGCACAATATCTATTTATTTTCAACACAGAAAATATAAAATGTGCCGTGACTTTTGCACCACCCACCATATTCCCCACCATATTAAATTCAGCAAATAAACAATAATTGTGCATCAAAATGTGCAGAAGCGTGTTTTCTGTAGAGGATGTATTCACTTATTTTCACTCAGAAAAACATAGAATTTGACCAGCGGTGCCCAAACTTTCTCACTGATCAAATGGCTATTCATACTTATGTAGAATTTAAATTTCATAGTTTGTTTTGACAGGACATTATTATGAATATTTACATTTTTTCCATGTAATAACTTCAATAACTTTATACTATAAATCATGAACAGTTTATGTTTTGACGTCTACAAAAAAAGATGGTGCTTCAAGGGTTCTTCAGTAAAGAAAATGGTTCTATATAGAACTATGAACACTCAAAGAACCCTTTGCATGATTAAAGGGTTCTTTACATCATGAAAGCTTTCTTCAGATTGATGCAGAATGTGCTATAGATGATTCTATAGAGAACCTTCTTGAAAATGGTTCTATACAGCACCCAAAGGGTTTTTCTATTGTTATGGTGCCAAGCTTGCAACAATAGAAAAACCTTTTTCGGTTCTATATAAAACCCTTTTCAAAAAGGTCCTATATAGAACCATCTACAGCACACTCATGCAAATTTTAATTCAATCTAAAGAACCATTCCATGATGCAAAGAACCCTTTAATCATGCAGAGGGTTCATCGAGAGTTCATGGTTTCATACAGAACCATTTTCTTTACTAAAGAACCCTCGAAGAACCTTTTTTAAAACAATGTAGGTAATAACATATCAGTCCTCACTGTAAAAGTTAGTTGTTAATAATTATTATTTATTAATAATTACTAATATTGCAAGCGTTTTTATTTTTTATTTTCCCCCTTTTCTTTTCCTTAATTTTTCCATTACAAGACTCCACACTTTTGAATGGCAGTGTTCTCCAATAAAACCGGATTCTGGTTCTGAACTCAGCTCACGAAGGTCTTGCTAATTAACTGAAAAGTTGAGTCAGGTGTGTATAATGAGGCAGAGAGCAAAACTCTGCAGAGCTGAGGCCTGAAAGGAAGGGAGTCTGCTGGTTTAGAGAGAATCTGAGTGGGAAATGGAGTGGGCTCCACCAGGCTGAGAGAAAATGGCGGCTATAATAAAAAACGCCATCCTTACACCATTTATTGGGTTTGCTGCAGTCAGACGTCACACACAGCCCTGACGCTCCTGACTACACACACGTCAGCCAATTTAGCCCAGATTTACACACTAACACACACACACACACACACACACACACACACACAGCTTATCAGTAGCCACAGCAGCGCTCCCCCTAGACAACAGCCCTGATTTACAGAGCCGAGGACAACAACAGGCCGGCCGAGGTATCTACCATAAAACACAAATACACAGTAAATCCACTCCTCAGATGCCGTCGTCCAGCCCACTTACACATTCATACGATTGTATGTGTGTGAGAGAGATAAAGCCTACTCTCTGCTCTTTTATAGTGTCTATGTGTGTGTAACAAACTGATAACATTAAAATCAAAGACATTCAGACGTGCACGTGTAAAGATTCGTCCAGAAGCCAATAAGAGAGAGAAATTTTCTAACGCTGCTACATGGAGATGCACACAGAAGACTTTATATTACCAGTAATAAAGCGACAACAACTTTTCACAGCAAAACTGAACAAAACTGATCTATATAAACAGTGGGGGACCCTCAGGGCTTCTAGGCCTTCAGATAAGGCCTATGATTTCTGTGAAATCCAAAAAATTTTTAGCTTAACACAGTTTGAACACGTCTGGTCAAATGACGTTTTGTTGTTTTTCTAAATGAAATAAGCAACATAAGTAATGTGGCTTAAATTAAAAGTTTGTGGCTTAAATTAAAAGTTTGACCGATTTGTGAGAAAACAACAATCTTTAAGCCTTCTGGAAGTCCTAGATATGTCACTGACTGCGAATCTAAGAGGTAGCCTCACCGATGTGTTGCAGTCAGATGTGAGAAACGGAAAATAGCGACAGGCAGTCAGTAATCTATCCCTGCTTGTGGGACATTGCTTAATTCCACTGAATACTAATATATGGTCGAGGTGACAATACAGCTCTTTATTATCTTGATTGATATCCTTAGACATTTGTTTCCAAAAGCTGAAAATAGACACACTCACGTGCCACTTGCGCATCATTTTTAAAACAGCCCATATCCCACATTTTTCTGTTACTTCTTGTATTTTTTCTCTTGGATTCCTTTTTTAGTAATTATTTGTTTTTTATGTTTGTGTCAGTCATAATTCATTTCAACCTTTTTGCTCACAGGTGCAAAAGCACATGCAATGTACATTTCCTCTCTCTCTCTACTAAACACACACACACATGCATGCAGGGCAGAATGTGTCTTCCTTGTCAAAACACACAAGTACTGGTTCTCAGTCTTTCATGTTCTTTTGTGCTTTTACAAGTGCTGTAAGCTTCACGCTGCTCCTAAACCAGCATAAAAATGCCTTCCAGCTGGTTTAACAAGTCCAGTTCACCTCCCCACTGAATCAGAGGTAGTCTTACAATCATCATATGATATGCAACAATCATGAGATTCACAATGATTTAATATGGAGTAGTTATAAAGCATCATGCTTACTGCATTTATTTTAAGAGCCCATATCAAGGAATCTTCTTCACTTTCCTGAAATAAGATGCAGTATCATGAGATTTATGAGCCATTTTCCAGCCTTTCTTTATCCCGTAGAATTAAGCAGTTGTTTAAACTTGTTAATGCGTCTGTAAGACACAATAGGAAGCGTCCAGATATATGTGAATGAGCTCTGCTCTGATTGGCCGGCTTGTACTCTGCCTTATTCACAATGCAGTCTGGGCTGAAACACTCTTCATGACTTAAGCATTAATGGGCGGAGCTAAACTTATGCAGGCTGAAAAAGTGGGAAAATGGAAATGAGTGTTTTTGTTGGAATCACAAAAACAACAAATTCAAAACAGGCTGTTTTCGTAGCCCGGTTTCCTTATATGGACTGTGTGGACAGGGGAGTGAACAGCACATTTTAAAAATTTCACGGTATTTACATACTACATCTCATTTCAAAAAAGTGAAGAAAATCTGGGCTCTTAAAATAAACACGAGAAACATGATGCTTTATAACTGCTCCCTATTAAATCACTGTGAATCTCATGATTGTTCTGAATCATATGATTCTGTATTGTAGGACTACCTTTGAGACAGTGGGGAGGTGAACTGGACTTGTTAAATCATCTGGAGGGCATTTTTATGCCGGTTTAGGAGCAGCGTGACCTGTGCAAAAGAACATGAAAGACTCAGTACTTGTGTGTGTCTGACACAGAAGACACATTCTACTCTGCGTGTGTGTGTCTATTAGAGGGAGAGACAGAGAAAATGTACACTGCATGTGTTTAAACACCTGTGAGCAAGGGTGTGAGGGAAAGCAATAGACAATATACAGTACTGTGCACAAGTCAGACACCACACTTAAATTTATTTCATTTCCAGTTAAAATAGCCATTAAGTAGAAGTTATTCATTTTTCAGTATCAAGAAAAAAAACTTTATTACAGCTTCCACTTCCATTATTTTTAGTTTTTCAAAGAAATCTGCGGGGATATTTCTCACCCCTCCAAAGTTCAGTCTTAGAAGTTGTGTTTTGTGCTTCTCACCATTTCATTTTCTCAGTAAGAGCTTCTTGACAGCTACACATCATTTCAGACTCATAGCACTGAGTTGTCTTTTCAAAGTGGAAGGAACGGCAGAAACACCTCTGGATGTTTCCAGATCTGAAGCAGTTTGATTTTCTCCTCTCTCTCAAATATGAAAGCTTTAAGTGCTGCTTGTCTGATGGGGACAGTTTGTTACCAGGCTACCAGGTATTGCAGGTGGTTGTTAGGAGTCCCATTTTCTCTGTACTTTTTTATCATTTTTTGAACTCCAGTTTCTGAAACTCCTTTTTTTCACATTTTGTTTCGTATTGTATTTTGACTTTCTCCTTAATTATGCAAGTGGATCATCTTATTTCTAATCTCAACAGAAATATCTGAAAAATGAATACTTGATCACTGGAATTTAAATAAAAGTGTTCTCTGACTTTTGCACAGTGCTGTACATGAGTGCGAGGTTAAGTGTGTGTGTTTGTTACCGAAGGCACCGGTCATGGCCGGGTCCAGCGTGGGCTGGCCGTCTCCTGAGGGCAGGTCTAGCCGGGTGAAATCTCGGCTTTTGTCGTTGTTGTATTTCACATTCAGGCTGGTCAGTTTAGAGAATTCAATACGCAGTGTACAGCAGGCATTGTAGATGTTCTGACCGTCCAAAGTCTGATTGAGGGGACAGAACACAGGGGTCATTCAAACCTACATCACCAACACCAGAAGTTACAGCACATTAAATACGTTATTAAAAACTATTTCAAGGATCTGGATCAGTTCTGGATCAGTTTCAGTTGGAAACTACATCTACTATAAATCCCTGTGCATTGTTACAGCCCATACTTCAGTGAAATGGCTATGCTGACAAGAATCATTGCTCAAATCACATTTTTCGCTCAGATCTGATCTTTCCTTAAGTTACATGCCACTGCCACTTGAACACAGTGCAGTGGAAATAATATAGAAACTGCAATCTGACCCAACTTCTTGCATGGCCACAAACTGGACATCGGGTAGATTTCAAATGATTAGAGTCAGAAAAAATTAGATCTGTGTCACATTAAGGAAATAGAATAATTAATTAATTAATTAATAAGATTTGTGCCACTTCACCTTGGCGATGTGAACATAGCCTAATGGCACTGGCCATGAGAGTGGACTGCACCAGCTAACTTTCCTTCGGTGACAGAGATACTGAAACATTTAAACTTGTTCTTCTTTTTTCTTTTATTCTTCTCTCTGAAGTCCACTCGTAGCCCGCTTATTTGTGTGGGTTCTATATACAAAACAGTTGACATTCATCTTTACAACACCATTTTCCAACCTCTCTTTATCCCTTATAATTAAACAGGCTATTTTTGTTACTGTGTCTTTTAGATTACATATGAAGAATTTGGCTGAAAAACACATAAGAGAAAACTTTAAAAGATTATTTTAAAAATAAAAGGCTGTTTTGAATCTTGTGATGTCACTGCAATCTATACACATATATCTGCCTATTCAGCCTACAGAAGTTTAGCTTCACCCATTGCCACTGACGTTATGAGGAGTGTTTCAATCTGGACCGCTTAAAAAAAAAATACCAGCCAGTCAATCAGAATATAGCTTATTAACATACATTAGTAGTAAAAACAGCTTGCTTAACTCTGAGGCATAAACAGAGGTTGGAAAATCATCATGTAAAAAAGAAGTATGACTATATTTGACACAGATGTTATGTCATTTATACACTAAAATAGAAATGAATCAAAACCAAAATCACTAAATCAAGTCACATGACCTTTTACGCCAGCTGCATGCAAAAAAAATAACTGTTAAAAAATCTCATGCATTTGTTTTTTATTGTATACAATATCAATGATTTTCTAGGTGAGAAATTTGAATACTATTTGTTGGATTTGTTGAATTTATTTGTTGAAATATTTGTTGAATTTGGATATTATAGCAAATCTCAACCTGACAAAACCTGAGGTTAGATTTTTTTTTTTGATGGAGAATGGCTTCTTATCAGTGGCGCAAATGCACACAAGTACACATTTCCAGCTGCCAGTTGAGCAGCAGAAGTCATTACTGTAGAACAAATGGCTTTCCCTAGTTAGCTTTTCCTCCTAATCCCCATTTAAGTGAGGCCTGTGTTGTGCATGGGAATGAAATATGACCCAATAATTACTGCATACAGTGAACCACTTTGCTGCAAGATGGAAGAAACCAAGGCCCATATTTATCATGACGAATGCTACCTCCTGATCAGACCTGACGTTTTCCCCTGGATGGGTTAATGGTGGAAGTGGGCTACAGATTGGCACAGGCTGTGGGGGGAGAGCATAAATCGCCACAAGGGGCCTGTTCATTAGAATAAGCCCTGATGACAAACTTTCGTCAAACTTAATCTCAGGGGCACAAACTGAGCTCCAAATTCACAGGAGAATAAGAAAAAAGAGGACAAGGAAACAAATCAGGTGGATTTTATGTTTGTTGTCTTAACAGAGGAAGAGTCTTCCTCCCCCTTCTAGCTTTTTTGTTTCCACTAAGACACAGAGAAAATAGCGAGAGAGATTTGTCTTAGATTGTTTTTCTTTTCTCCTGTCTCTCCCCAGCAATTTAGGGAAGGAGGTTTGGGGAAGGGGGGGCACCCAGACCCACCTCCTCCTCCAACACTAACAAATGCTTCCTTTGTGAAGGGAGGCGATGCAACATGGCAGCAGCACAATAGATAACACCCGCAGACCAGGGGAGTAATTACTCGCTGGCTTTTTTTCTCTCACAGCTTCAATGGTGTTCATTAGATATCCTTGACAATGACAAATTAATCACGGGGGGGTGCGTGATTTGTGCAGGCTGGTTTTCAGTCGGAAAAGGGGAAGAAACGGATGTCGCCACTGACAAGTTCTCCACCCCGAAAACAACCGATCGCCCTACGAGCTCGGAGAACGATGACAGGGGGCACGGCAAAATGGGTGCTTCTGATAGGAACGTGACGGGATGTCGAGCGGGGCTGCCATGATTAATCAACAAAGCCGATTAGCTGTCAATGACACTGATTGCAGAAAAAAGGCGTTGCGTCATTTACTCAAAAATGAAAGTTCTTAGGCTCCCAAGTGCCACAACCATCTAATTGTCAGCCCTACCATCAGGAGATCTTGAGATCCTCAGCAACGCCACAACCACCTGTGACCAGGAGTCTAAGACAGCATAACTGTCCTCGCTCTCTCTGAGTGGGTAGGATGCCCCCTCTCCCCTATCACTCATGCGCAGAGCTAGCCAATACAGGTTTGTTAACGGACACAACAGAATTAGCAGTTAGTGTTCTCCTCCAAGTGTGCTGAGCTGTCCTGTGACACTGCATTAGCAACAATTCAATAAGATATACTGGAGCTTAATTTGTCTTGGTAGCCTTTACTTTACCCTCCCAGCTTGGTAGCAACATGTGATGGGGGAGATCTAGTCAGAATTGGCAATGACCCAAAAAAAAAAAAAAAGTTGTCATTCTGACAGATTGCAATAAGCTACAGGAAATGTAGGGGGCGATACAGCTTCTATTGTTCTTTGCACAATAAACGAACCAAAAATCATGTCACACAGAGGATATGTTGGGTTGGTTACATATAAATAAGTAACTCAATCCAATTACATGGGCTGAACTTTTAGGGCCAAATACATAATTGTGATTTTTTTTTTTTTACCAATATTGCAATTGCGATTTAAGCTCAATGCCCGTTTTTTAGGTAAGAAGACCAGAACATATGTTTTTGGCTTAATGCTTTAACACCTAACATAATGTGCCAGAAGGCCAGTTAGCTGTGGTTGTGATGTCAGAGCAGATGGGTGTTCTGATTGGTCTAACTCATTCACCGGCAGTTCACATGCTCCATGATATTAAGTGAAATGTCCCCTTAAAATTAAGGCAAGGTTGTGGGTAACACAGGCTATAATAAAAAAAAACTGCAAATTTAAAAACTTCATTCTTTCAAAATGCTGTTTTGACATAAAAACAATTACTCTTTCAGCTCTATTTCTCTTAAACTGATGGGATTACTTTACTTATTGCTTCATTACTTTACTCAGTTAATTAAGTTAATTTATAAAATCCAAACAAATCTGTTCCGACTGAAAAGTACAAGGGAAAACCCAATATTCCTTTTTCAGTACTTCTTTTATAAAAATATAGCCAATTTATCATTTAATCATTTTAATCATTTAAAAGGCAGGTCGATGCCTCTGCTCTGAACAAGACCGACAGTTATGCCTGAGCTAAATGAATGGCTGAGGCTGTATGAAAACCCAGAAACTAGCCAGTATTCAGTTATTAACAGCTGCCACAAAGTGAAATCTCAGCACAGCATTTCTTTTACCCTAAAGTTTCATATCAGCATGACTAGGCATGACTTTGTCAGACTGCTTGTGTAGTACACAGCAGTGGAAAACTGATTAAAAGTGATTTTTTTAGACCTGTGTGAACACAATAAATTAGATTTGTTTTTTTTTCCAAATCAGACTTCTTTCATTTGTGGTCTGAGATCAAATACGTATCTGTAAAGGTGGCTATTCGACTGTAATGAGAATGGTCAAATCACTGCACTCATCATCCAGTGTGGCCAGCAGGCCATCAGTGGCTTTAACTTGATTATAAAATGTGTGCATGTGGGAGCTTTCAAGGCAGGTGTGTTCACACTAATAACAGGTACGGGTCACTAACAAACCCGAAAGTGAATATTTAAGGCAGGAAGATCAGATCTGAGCAAATAAAACTCTCTATTTTTTGTAACATCTTGTAATGACTGTAGCCATAGAGATGATGGTGCTTTGATCAAAGGCAGGGTCAGGAGAGACAAAAGCAGGGTGTGGGCTGTGAAATGACCACAGCTGAAGCAGCACATCAACCCACAGACAGCCTGCAGCAAATGTCCAGATGCTTCCAGCCTGAGAAAAGCCAACTATCTTCCCATTAGGACTTATCTACAGCATATGGGTTTACCACTATCAGTCAACTGCACAGTGACAAGAAAATAAGAGGAGTATTCTGAGGCTGAGTGCGCTATATTCAGGACTGACCACTTTGGCGTGATGTGCATTCATGGGATCTGCATATTGTAGCAAGGCCTGGAACTGGTTATTCTTGGTGAACGTAATGATCTTCAGGACTGTTCCGAACTTGGAGAAGATCTGGAGTGGGTGACAGACAGGAAAAAAAAATAATAATAATTTTAAAATTGTCATAGAGTCAGAGTCAGAGTTAACATAGAGATACTCACAAAAAAAGCCCACATAATCTGTTTCTAGTTTAGAATATGCTAACAACATGTAACAATATGCACTATATGTCCAGACGTTTGTAGACACCTGCTCATCCAGCACTTGTTCTGAAATCAAGAGTATTTATAGGCAGTTTGTTCTTTCTTTGCTGCAGTAACAGCCTCTATTCTTCTGAGAATGGAGGGCTTTATACCCCTCTTGCCAAAGCTTGGCATTGACATGATGACCATAGGCTCATGTGAGGCTGCTCTAGAGTGTCCCATTCTACTGCCAATGCTTTTCTATGGAGATTATACAAGCTTTATGGGTGCAGCTGAATGCCAGTGTCAGGCATTAATACACCTTAAATCACAAATTATAAGGGGTGTCTGAATACTTTTGGACATACAGTGCATTTCATTTTCCTAAGGGCTCATATTAAAAAGGTTCTTCAGGACTGTACAGCTGAACTAAGGCCTATTTGTGTTAATACTCAAACACACTAGCACGCCAATGTTCTCCAACAAATAAATAATGTTGATGGTGGTAGTGAACAGGTGCACCATGTTTAGTCTACATTCAAATTCATGTGAGGAACACTACCTATGAAGATGAATATATATGAGGGTCATGCAGGCTACAGAAATCAAAAATCAAGATGCAAAAAGAATTTATAATCACATCTTGGCACCTTGAATCAAGGTGAGCTACCTACACTGCAAAATGACATCTTGGCAAGTGAAAACATCCTAAATCTAGTCAATACACAGTACTGTGTAAAGTCTAAAGGCACCTAAGCAAACAGTTTAAAACCTTCTAGCAGGTAAGATTGTTCTAGTTTGTCAAAACACCAAAACAGTTTCAAAATAAATAATGCAGTTTGCGAACAAACATCAACGCAGTAAAACGAAACAAGATTTTTTGTGAACTGGTTAGAAGAGCACAAGTTAGGTTCCAGTTTTCTCCTCAAAACCTCAGACTATTGCAGGAATTCCATCATCAGTACACTTGATATAATGAAGTACTGATTAGCCATAACAGGCATTGGAGGATAACAAGAAATGCTGGGCTGCCTCAATGAGAGGTTTGGAAATGGTTCAATAAAAACACTGACATGCATAAAATCAGTATGTATATTTATTGTGATACATTTAAATACATTTTTCTCAGGTGCCTAAAACCTTTGCACAGTACTGTTACATTAAACATTAAACGCTGATGGTAAAAAGGTGATGGCACCAAAAAGGGCTTCTTCTATTGTAACCATGTCAAACTTGTAACAACAGAAGAACCCTTTTTGGTGCTATATAGAATCCTTTTCAAACACATTCTATATACAACCAGGTACAGCACATTCTCATTCAGTCTGAAGAACCCTGTCACGATGCAGAGAACCTTTTAATCATGCAAAAGGTTCTTTGAGTGTTCATGGTTCTATATAGAACTATTTTCTTTATTAAAGAACCCTTGAAGAACCATCATTTTTACGTATGAAATGTAAGGTTTTCACTTGACAAGGTATATTTTTGCCGTATCAAGTAACTCACTCCTAGTGTGCAATGAGTTTAAAACCATTTTATTATCAGATCCTTTTAGAAATGCATGCCCACATCCTTGTGGAACTGATTCACATTAACAGACACTTCAGAGAAAAGAATTCTGGGAAACCTCATCCTACCTGGTGAAGCACTTCCAGAGAAACAGGATAGAAGAGGTTTTCCACAATAATGCGCAGCACAGGACTCTGCCCGGGCATCATGCTGCTGTCGCTGGCCGACGCCGAATGCGTCATGTTCCCAGAATGCACTGCGTTCACAGCCTGCAGGGCTGCCTGTGTTCTCTGCGGGACATTTCACTACACTGTAATTTTTAGCAGATTTTCCTGAAGCTTCACATTCACTCTCTCTCTTTCTCTCGCACACAAATATTTCACACCAAGTACTTGCCCGGAGGCGCAACTGTTGCTGAGCAGGGTACCAGTTTAAGGCTGTAACATGGAAAAATGATTCCAACAGGGATAAGGAAGGGACAGGTATGAAGTAAAAACAAACAAACAAAATAAACAAGCACTGGCAAAATGAGGTTCTGCTAGGTCAGTCACTGTCACTGGGCCTCATTCACCAACCGCTTCTAAGAAGAAATTTCTTCCTAAAACTCACACAGTTTTCACAAAGATTCTGACCCTCACCAGTGTTTTCTTAATTGTGATTTAAGAACAGAATCTACACACTCAAGAGCACTAAGGTGTGAACAAGGTGTGTGTTGGTTAAAATAAGGGCTTAAGAACAAGTCACTGATCTGATGTAGACTTTTTCTTAGGACCAAAGACAATAACAAATGTAAGAAAAAACTTAGGAGGTTATTGATGAACAAGCCCCACTGTTATTAGTAATCAGTTAATTAGGGACTACACAATAATATCAGAATCATACTGGTATCATCAGCTATTTAAAAATACATCAGCATCACACAGATCAAACCAATATTTGATGATGTATTTATTGCACTCTGAAAGAGCAGATCGTTTAGCTTTAATGTTTGGATAAGTGTCTCTTATTTGCTTACTGTAAGAGATTTTAAAATGTAAAATATGCATTATCACGCACACTAATCACTGGTGACTCATCAGTATCATGTTTTTGTATTTTCTTTTTACTTTTTTTTCTGAGTAATCAAACTGAATTAAGTAATAGTGATGACAACCCTGCCCCCAATCACACTGCCTGAAAATTCTGCCACTATTATGTGGCTTTAACATTCTCAGACTAAAGCAGTCATATTTCAGCAGCTGCAGACAGTGCACTCGATCAATTCAACCCCATTGTTGGTGGGTCACAAATAGATTTATGCAAATGTAGTCAGTATCATGTCAGCACATTGAATCCTCTAATTGCCCAACAGAATGGAATCAAAAGGAGAGGTTCAATGTAACCATAGTTACTAGAAGATCTTGATCTGCAGAGGTTAAAGGTAAAGCTAGCATACGGATAGATGTCCTCACCCCTTGGTTGGGCAGGTTGTCGGTCTTCAGCTCGCGGTGGTTAGAATACTGGATGTAGACGGGCTGGTTGCGAACGTGGGGAGTGGCAGTGGTGTAGTAGTTCACCATGGTGATGGCTGCTTCTTCTGAAGCCATTTCTATAAACGCCTGAAGTGAAGAAAAGAGACAAAAGCAGCCAAAGTCATCACAAATGAACCATCAGTGTGGACACCTATATGAAGCTGAAAACATGCATAATAGATGACGGTCATGTCAAAAAAGTCAAAACCTCAATCTTTCACTTTTTTATTTTTACACCTTTTGAAAACACCAGCTGCTTTTTACATTCTGTGAACAACTCATGATGAATGGACCAATAGAAATGATCCCAAATTACTTACTAATAAAATCTCCTTATATTAATGTACATCTAAGTGCTCATATCATGAAAATATTTCCTTTGCTTTGTTGAAATAAAATAGTTTAATGTGGCATAAAAATGTACTATAAACTGTATAACTCCATCCCATAGGTACATACTGTCTCTATACAGAAAGTCTGTTTTGGAGTCATTGTTTTTCTGATGTTACAAAAAATAGCACATTAACATAATATCCACCTCTTCAGTCTAAGTTATAAGGAGAGTTTCAGTCTGGACTGCTTTCCGAACAATTCATTTACATACATCAATCTTAAAGGCAAATAGAGTTTAAAAAATGGTTCTACAAAATTGCTTATGACTGTTTTTGTTACACAAAAATACACAAATGTAATCAGTGAACCACAGTGAATAAAAAAATGAAACATAAGAAAAATGTAAGTCACAAGCCGTTTCAAATTATACACCTATATACATGTACATCTACATTCACTCACCGAGCGCTTCATTAGGAACACTACTAATACTGGGTAGGGCCTCTCTTTGCTTTCAAAAAAGCCTTCAATTCTTTGTGGCATGGATTTCAAAAGATGTTGGAAACATTTCTTTGAGATTCTGATCCATGCTGACATGACTGCATGCTGCAATTCCTGCAGCTTTTCAGGTGCACTTTCATGTTGTGAATCTTCTGTTATGCCACATCCCAAAGGTGTTCTATTAGATTCAGCCACTGAAGAACACTGAGCTCATTGTCATGTTCATGAAACCACTTTGAGACGACTTCTGCTTTGCGACATGGTGCATTATCATGCTCTTACTACGCATTAGAGAATGGGTAAATTGTGGCCATGAAGGGATGCACATGGTTAGCAATAACAGTCAAACAGGCTGCCCTTAAAGTGATGACTGATTGGTATTAACAGGCCCAAAGTGTGCCGAGAAAACATTCCCCCACGCTATTACACCACCTTCCCCAGCCTGGACTGCTGACACAAGGCAGGTTGGATTCATGGATTCAAAAACACTATGTTCACATTTTACCCCTATTCTGACTGTTGGAAGTGAACATTACATGAACCTGCTGCCCGATATCTGCACAGTGCACTGCATTGCCGGCACATGATTGGCTGATGAGAATAAACAGCTGTACAGGTGTTCCTAATAAAGTGCTTGGTGAGTGTGTATATGTATAAGCACTTTACATATACACAAACACACACACACATATATACACTGAGCACTTCACATATACATACACACATGCACACACATACATATCTATGTCTATCTATGAGCTGTGCATCTCTAACACACACAGGCAGAAATAAATCCGGTTCTGCTCAAAATAAAAGGCCCTAAATTTCATCTCTGCAAATAAAAGACGATCATCTGAGCACAGCGAGGGGGATTTAAATTTGCCTATCACAGAAAAATCTCTCTGTACCCATCTCCACGCCTGCACAAAGGGGAATTATTCCAACTTGCTCAAGCAAGGTGCGAGAGAGTGACGGATGCAGAGGCCGACAATAAACGGGCTCTTTTGAAGCCCAATCAAACCATGGAGCATGACCAAATTTATGCATCAGCAGCGGCAATAAGGGAAAACCTGTCCGTCTTTTCAGGTCTAAATAAGCCCGCCTCCATTTGAATATGAAGGGCCACTCCAGTTCTTGCTAGGCTCCTTATGAGGGTCTCTTTTTTTTAAACAAGCCTTGATGTGTTTCAAAGAATGCACCCTTCACTCCCTCCCTGGCATCACTAATGAAGCGCAAATAGGTGGCCGAAAACCAAGCATCCAAAAATGCAAGCAGTAGACCATACCGTGTGTTTTTTGTGCTGTTTACTGACCAAAAAACATTAGAAATTATTATTAAAATGTTATGAATTATATTTACTTCATAATAGAACTACATCTGAAGTTGAGTAGCAATAGAATACATTAAATGGGAGTACATAATCAGGACACAAAAAATGGTCACAGAAAAAAGGCTGTACTAGTACATTATCATAATAGGGAGATTACTTGCAGGATTACATTAAAATATGTTTTTTTCTTTCATGTGTTCACCTCTACAAGGTAAATGTGCCTGTTCAATGCAGATTTTGTTAAGCTTTTGAGGCTGTGGCAAATAGAGAGATCTCTCGAGTGCATTACTGTGCATCACGGCTGTAAAGTACAATTGCAGGATAACACTGTGAGCGTTGAATTTGAGGGGGGGGGCGCTGTAGCTAATGTAATACTAACCTAACATATATCTTTCTGTTCCTGTAGTCAAAGTGAACTAAAATAATTAATCTCTTCTAACAGGATCCTGTAACAGGTGGCCAATGCAAGTAGACATGAAGCTACTCTTCAAACAACGGTGCAATAAACCTTCATAATAAGCACAAATTAAGGAAAGTGTAAACTACCTACTGCTCAAAGTTACATATTGCTAACTCTAACTGGTATTTTGGCAATCAGAATACCAATCAGAGAGAGCCTATGGCAAATTTAGTCCTAGTCAACTCAAATCGAACTACAGAAAATGGCAGAAAGAAACTAAATTCAACAATTTTTTAACAGAAAAGATCAACATCACTCTCTCTTAGACAGTTCTTTACAAATTCATCGCAACTATAGATAACAGCTGGAAGAAAGTCATAAAAATGAGTAGACAGGGGTTTAAAAACGACATTTTCACGTTGACCTACACCCTTAATGGCTCTTCAGTAAAGAAAACTGTTTAGAACCATGAACATTCAAAAAAAACATTTCCATGATTAAAAGGTTTTCTGCATCGTAAAAGGGTTCTTCTGATTGATAAAGAATGTGCTGTTGATGGTTCTGTATAGAACCTTTTTGAAAAGGGTTGTATATAACACCCAAAAGGGTTCTGCTATGGTTACAATGTCAAGCTTTTAACAACAGAAGAACTCATTCTCCATCAATCTGAAGAACGCTTACACGATGTAAAGAACCCTTTAATCAGGCATGTGATCATCAAGTGTTCATGGTTCCATATAGAACCATTTTCTGTCCTAAAGAACCTTTGAAGAAGAATCTTTTTTTTAAGAGTGTGGCTACAAACAGGAAATCTTAACCAATTTTAACCTTCTATTGCCACGATGTCAGTGGTGCTATAAAGAACGCTTTTCAAAGATGTTCTATATAGAACCATACACAACAAATTCTACATCAATCTTAAAAACACTTTCACAATGCAAACCTTTAATCATGCTAAGGGTTCTTTGAGTGTTCATGGTTCTATACAGAACCATTTTCTTTACTAAAGAACCCTAAAAGAACCATTATTTTTAAGTGTGCACTACAGCTATGTTTATAGTGCAGGAGTGTGACAGATCAGCATGTATGTAATCATGAATACACTCACGCTTTTGATCTGTTCGAATAAAAATTGTGTTGATCTTATAGAGTCTCTCTGATCTTCTTCTCATCCATAAAATCTCTTTAATCTAGAAACACATCTACTTTACTGCTGTGGAAACATGATTGGATTTGCAGGAGAGCACCGACAAATACCAAACAAAGGCAACTACAGAACAGAAAGACATCTGATTGGACACAAAGGATAGAGTTTTATGCATTTCTTTAAATGTGCTTCTTTAAATCTTCTTGGATCTCTTCCTCACATCTTGGCTCCTCCTTCCGAGGAGGATGCGAGGTATAAGGTAAGATGTGAGGGTGAAAACACCACTGCATATGCACATACAGTGAACTCCATAAGTATTTGGACAGTGACATTATTTTTGTAATTTTGCCTCTGTATACCGTCACAACGGATTTGAAATGAAGCAATCAAGATGTGACTGAATTGTAGACTTTCAAATTTAATTTAAAGGGTGTTAATCAAAATATTGTATTATCTGTTCAGTAATTACAGCCATTTTTACAAAGTCCCTCCATTTTCACAGGCTCAAAAGTAACTGAACAAACTAGCAATTATAAATACAAGGATTATTTTTAATATTTGGATGCAAATACTTTGCAGTCAATGACAGTCTGGAACCCATGGACATCACCAAATGCAGAGTTTCCTCCCTTGAGATACTCTAATGCAGCTGCCTTCAGTTGCTGCTTGTTTGTGGGTCTGCCTTCAGTTTTGTCTTCAGTAAGTGGAAAGCATGCTCAATTAGGTTGAGGTCAGGTGACTGACTCAGTCATTTAAGAACATTCTGTTTCTTTGCCTTAAGAAGCTCTTGGGTTGCTTTCACTGAATGTTTTGGGTCATTATCCATCTGTATTTTGAAGCACTGTCCTATTAGTGTAGCGGCTTTTGACTGAATATGAGCAGAAAGTGTAGCTCTATACACTTCAGAATTCATCCAGCTACTTCTATGAGCAGCCACATCAGCAATAAACACCAGTGCCCAGTTCCATTGGCAGGCTTACATGCCAATGCCATAACACTACCTCCATCATGCTCAACAGATGATGTGGCATGCTTCAGATCATGAGCCCCTCCTTTCGTTCACCATACTCTTCTCATCATTTTGGTACAAGTTAATCTTAGTTTCATCTGTCCAAAGAATCTTGCTCCAGAACTGGGCAGGCTTTTTATAGATGTTTTCTAGCAAAGTCTAATCAGGACTTTCTGTTCTTGAGTGTTACCAGTGGTTTGCATCTTGAGTTGAACCCTCTGTATTTACATTCATGATGGCGTTTCCTGATTGTTGACTTTGACAATGATGTGCCAACCTCCTCTAGAATGTCCTCGACATGAGTGGTCCACCAGTGGATTTCTTTAACACAGTGTGGGGGGTTCCCGAAGGCTGTATGACGTACATGTGCAATGCATGCTGGTTACTGTTGTGAGAAAACACTGATAAATGAAAACACAAAAAGGATAAAAATTGTGAATCCTGTCAACTCTGAGGCTGAAGGATACAGTGCTACCTTGCTGGATATTACGTAACAATATATTAAATGGTAGTTTTAGGCTGGAATGTCCACTAAATGTTGATGTTAGAGCCTTCAAAGGATTCTACTTTATCAACTGTCTTTTCACACTGGCAAATTTTACTCTAACACAGCCTCTTAAACAGTTTCTCTGATTTCTTCTTCTCACAGTACCACTCTATACCACTCCAACTGCAGCAGTTATCCAGGGACTATACAAGGTGGAGAATTCACAGGCCTGCGTTGTAAGCAAAAGCAAAAAGACTTCCAGCTAGCACACACCTGTATATCATCATTCTGGAAGCCTCCCCACTCCTCGATTCCTCAAAGTGCATTTAAAGAATTGATACGCCTATAAAGATTTCCGACTTCAATCGATTTCCAGGTCAAGGCTGGAGGATGTAGGAGGAAGAAACTGAGGAAGTATCGATAGACTCTAACAGACTTTTAATTAATGTCTCCTCGCTGAGATATATCAATGGATAACCCCTCAACATGAGAAGAGTGTCTCGCCCCAGTGGCTAAGCACCTACCTGGTTTTTCCCTTTGAGCATCAACAGGTTGGTAACTTTGCCGAAGGGGATTCCTAATGAGATGACCTCGGCCTCAGAGACCTCGATGGGAACCTTGCGCACGTGGAGGACGCGAGAGGGGCCGCACGGAGATCGGTCTCTTTTGTACGTTTTACTCTCGTTGCCATTAGCTGCAAATGAAAAAGTAAAATAAGAACAAAAATTTAGAAGAAGCAGTTCTCCTTTTAAATTCTAGAAGTCACTATTATTGTCTGTAATTAACAAAAGTACGGTCTGATATGATATTAATAATATCTCATCAAAGTGAACTGAAAAACACTGTCGGGATGCAGAAACTGAACTGTCTGTAAGCAGAAGAAGATACTTCATATCATATTTTATTATGATGTGGATTTGCAGACATGCTTCTACTTATGCCATTTCTTTCAGATTTCTTGACAGTGAAACAAATGGAAATTTTAAACAGAATGTATATGTAATTCAATACATAATTATACAATTAAATACGTGATTATGTTATATATAGCGTGACCTGTGCAGAAGTCCTGGTGCATTTTATATTTTATGTTTTTTTCCAGTATGTCAAACTCAAAATAAATACAAATTGAGCAATAAAATTGGCTACATTTAAGTTTGTTCCCTGCTGAGGACGTGTAAACTTTTTTACATAAAATCCACAAAACGTCATTTGACAGGGGGGGTTCAAACTTTTGCACACAACCCTAGCTACTGAATAATAAGCATTAGGCAGTAGACCTTCATGAGGTTTAACTCAAAGTTTGAAACCCTGATGAAAGAAAAAGGTCCTGCTTTCAGTTCCCTCAGAAGCACAGCTCTGACTGTACAGACCAGCTGTCAGTGACATCAAGCCCGTTTCTGCAGCTCTAAACTCGCTGCAGCGGTTAAAAAGCCTCCTACTTCAGCTCATGAGGAGGTTTCATAGCTGTACTAAGCAAATGAGTCATCCAAAGAGAAAATGTCATTCTCAGATAGCAGTGAATATAAACCACAAATTTCCTTGATGAAATCCTCGAATGTGGTTTTAAAGGCAGGACAGTGCAGTCACTAACCACCACTCACACAATAAGACAACCGCACACGGTTCAAGCAAATTCAAAACCTTACAATGCTAATGAAGTCACATCTGCCAAATGCCCTGAACTTAGTTGATTCAAATGTGTATTTAAATATATAACATTAATGCAGTTACTGCTGAAATTCAGCCAAAACTATAGTCATGTGGAAATGATGTACGAATCAAACACATTTATCACTTTTTTCAGTGCACAAAAAGCTTTATGTGGAGAGAGGTAAAATACAGAGAGGGGAAAAACCCCAGCAAATGCCACACCCAGTGGGCAGCATCTCTGATGCCCACCAAAACAATAAGACAAGCTTCTTACAGGATTATCAAGCTTATGTAGTCTGGCAGACTGCAAACGGTGCCCACTGTGGGCAGTCTGGCACAGAACTATCTCCAGGGGCACATCACAGACCAGCGACAGGTTTTCCTCAGACAGACTGGCAGACAGACAGACAGACATGCAGACACCAAAACACTGATACTGGACATCTCATGCGTGGAGTAAGATTTTATAGGCTGATGAGTCTAAATTTATGATTAGGATTATTAGGATCGCCAGCAGCAGAAAATACAACCAACTTCTAAGACTCAACTTGGGAGGTGTGGAAAAATATCCCTGCAGATTTCTTTAAAAAACTCAAACAAGTCTCCTTGCACTGTTTGTTACTGCTTTCTGTTGTTTGGCTTCTGTTAAAAACTCCAAATATTCGAGTACTCTATTACTAATTTACTAATTGCAAGATAGAAGCTGATTTATGCCTGTGTGCCTACTACAATGGGTCTGACATAGTTTGTTCTGTGAAAAAGAGACTGCTTCTGCGCATGCTTTTGATATTGCTCATGCTTTTTTCCCCTCTTTTTATACTCTCTAGGTATTTTACAGCCTTGGGAGTTAACCAACAACTGCAAACACACTGAAGTTTTGCAATAATTAGGTCAAAACAGTGGAAAAAAAAACACAGTTTCTTCTTCCCTGAAAAGTTACTGCCTGGTTATGAAGATTTTCTTACAACAGTAGGAACATTTAATTATTTAGTTGTTTGTTCTATTTACACACAGCAAATATGAAGTATTGGCAAATGAAAGAGTCGTAAATCACCTTAAATGTAGTTAATATATAGCTAATATTTCTTAACAGTATGAATATGATATAAATAAAGATTATTAAACATTACCTCAAAAAATAATGCACTCTCTCCAGGCTTATGGTAATTTATGACTATTATTATTATTGTGATGTTTATGCTTGTTATGTGTTCTGTGGCTCTTAACTAAACACTGTTAATCACATAAAAGATTATTAAACATTTTAACATAAACAGTTTTATTAGTGAAATTAGTCTTATTCCATTGGCAGATAATTGTGCTTGTTGTTATTACTTGTTAAGATAATTTCTTAATTTCACAAGTCTAGAAATAGTTTAAATAATCTTGGAAAAAAACTCATTATGATATATTTGACTATGTTTAAGATGATTTAACAAGGTTTTCTGTAGTGTCTATTGCTCTTCTTCACTTAGGAATAGAAACCTGCACTATGAGTGGCAGATACTACATTAACCAGGTCAGGTTTCTCAGTGTAGGTGTATACTGGGTAACACTCAGTGCCTCAGTCTTGTGTGTCGAGTGCCGTTTTTGAGTAAAAGCAGGTGATATCTCTCTCTCTCTCTCTCACACACACACACAAACACACTCCACAGTTAATCCTGCGAGTCGAAGAGTCGAGGCCAAGAGGAACGACGGCACACAAAAGAAAGTGCTGCGGTCAGCAGGATGCCGTGCCACAGCGCTCCAGAGGGAGTGGACACGCATCACTCAGCACAGTTAACACGCTCTCCTCTCATTCTCCTCCTCTCCTCCCTCTTCTCCTTTTCTCCTGCAGGTCTGCACGCACGGAAACTCCAGACAGGCCCAGCTTCCTCCTTCAGACTCAATACTGCTGGGGGTCAGTCATATGAGGCAGAGGGAGACAGAGAGGGAAGTGCAGCAGCACTGTCTGCTGGACCATGTGCTGAGGCTGAAATAACTAATGCAACAGGACTCATGAGCTACAGCAGGTTTTTATTTTCAGCTCCAAACCTGGGGGGGCTGCAGTCCAGCACATCATGGTGCATTCAGACACTCAAATTCATATTTGCATTTGTTTGCTGTTTGGCTGGTATCGGTGTGTGATGTTAAGCAAAATGGTGGCATCTAAGTGAAGCTATGGACAGAATTATTTCAAACAAAAATTCTGTAAGCTGTCCGTCAACCGGTATTGTTTTAAATGACATACGCCTAAAACACAAAGATGAATCATTAAATCAACCAAACAATCAGGTACATATTACCTCTTATAGCGTCTGCATGCAACAAACCTTCCATGTTTTTGTTCTTTACTCTCAATACTCACGCAAGTTATTTTTCAAGATTCTTCTATAATTAAATCATTAAGATCTAAACAAAATAATTCAGATTGGTCTGATACAAAATGTTCCATTTTAGAAAAACTTACCAAGTCATAACTGTTCACAGTGCTGGTAAAAGGGACCATATTTTTTATAATCCACCCATGGCAAGTAGACACATGCAAGGTGAGGCAAAACAGTCCCCAAATAAAACATATTTCTTCAGATATACCATTATTTTACCATCATCAACATTACATATAAAAACTCAGAAGACACCAGTGAGTTCACTGGTCATTTTAAATAGCAAATAGAAAATAACGTTTGTGTTGTAGACCTCCCTGGCTCCCATCACCACCACTGTAGGGAAATTTGAGCTGGTAAGTTTGTTTACATCTCAGTAATCTAATTATTTATAATCAGGTGAATTTACCTTCAAGGGTCAGATTTAGTCAGTGTATCAGAGCAGGGAAAAATCACCAAACTAGAACTGGAGCTGTAAACTCCTGAACTCATGGGGAGGCCGAGGGACAAAAGATGAGAGCTTCAGAGAGCTGTTTACAACCGGGCACAACATGAAGTGCAATCTGTCAGCCTTGCATATTTTGATGATTTTAAACACTGCTTTAACACACCTGATCCAACTAATCAGTTAAATAGCAGGACAGGAGCGCTCTAGGAGCAGGACTGTGAACCGCTGCTTTAGTGGGACAGTACACTCTCAGAATTAAAGGTACACATGACTAGACAACTTCCTTCTGACTCGGAGACCTTAACGGACTCCATTACCCACAGTACCGTGCGGGATCACATGACTTCGGACGGGCTATCGTGCTCCTATCAGCGCTCACGTTCCCCGGAGTACTAACTGTTTGCACCTGTGTTTGTTGTCATATGATCGAGGCAGCATAGCTTATAAGCCCAGGCTTTAGTGCAGTTCAGTGCGAGGTATTGCTTCTTTACGAACTCACTGAGCGTTATTTCTATTGTTTGCTGTGTATTTGACCATTGCTTTGTTTACTTGACTCTGCCTTTTTTGCATTTTGCTTGTCGTTTTTGATCAGTGTTTTGGACCTTTCTGCCTGTTTTTTTGACTTACCCTTTTGTCTAGCCCCTTGGTGTTTGTTTGCACAGTGATATGATCATCGTTGTGTTTTGCCTTTGTCTTTTGGATTTGATCCATGTCTGTTTTTTGACCAAGCCTTTGCCTAACTCTATTAAAACAACTTTAGCCTTTTTACTCTGCAAGCGTCTGGTTTCTCTTGCTGTGCCACAAAAAGTATAAATATGTACTTTTCAGCTGGAAAAAAATTACTAAAGGTACACAATCAGACCTTAAAACCACTGCTGTACCTTTGAGGTACATTTACATTGTTTGTACCTTGATCAAAAAATGTATCTGCACAGGTCCTTTATTTTAAACAGTGTAGGTGAACATCTGCTCAGCTGGACAAGGAAAATACTGATAAAGAGATGCAAATCCACAGAAACACGAGACTCTGTCTTTCCATGACATCACAACAGTGCGAAAGATGAGGGTGGTGTGTTTTAGAAACACAGAGAGTAAAAGCAGGTGTATTTTACAAGAAAACCACACACACACACACAAGCAATATTATTCAAAGGTCTCACATCACTTGCCATTTTAACAATTCTTGTTATTTAATATACAATAGGTCACTTGTACAGCTTGCATTAA